GTGGTGCTGGGGGATTGAACCGCAGTCCCTGTGCTTTGCTAAGCTTGTTCTAAGTAGGTGCTTTAGACCACTGAGCCATCTCACCAGCCCCTAACATTCTTTTTTTTTTTTTTTTTTAATCAGAGCCGGGGATTGAACTCAGGCCCTTGCACTTGCCAGGCAAGCACTTATTCTAGTAAGCTATCTCCCCGGCCGGAATTGCTTTAAAAACTAAAACTAGAATTTCATTTGACACAGCTGTTCTCTTCCTAGCTATCTTTGTGAAAGCATTACAGACATCGTATCTCTGTGATACATGTATACCCATGTTTATAGCAGCACAATTCATAATAGCTCAATCTTGATAGTGGCTTATATGTCCATGACAGGTGAATAGAGAAAGAAAGTGTGGTATATATAAATAATGGAGTACTACTCAGCCATAAGGAGGATAAATTTGAGTCATTTGTAAGAAAATGTATTCGCTTGGAGACCTTAATCTTAAGTGAAATAAATCAGACCCACATTATTAAGTATCACATGTGTTTCCTTTTTCCTTCCTTCCTTCCTTCCTTCCTTCCTTCCTTTCTTTCTTTCTTTCTTTCTTTCTTTCTTTCTTTCTTTCTTTCTTTCTTTCTTTCTTTCTTTCTTTCTTTCTTCATCTTTTTGAGACAGGGTCTCACTATGCAGTTTCGGCTGGTCTTATATTCACTTTGTAGCCCAGGTTGGCCTCCAACTTGCACGGATCCCTCCTGCCTCAGCCTGTTGAGTACTGGGATTACAAGTATGCACCACCATGTCTAGCATGCATAGTTTTTATTCTGTGTAAAACCCAAAGTATAAATAATTCAAAGAGTAAAGTAAATGGTAGATTACAAGAAACAAGGAGATAGGCCTTTTGCAAATGGGAAGGTGATCTAGAGATGGAAGGAGAATGGGGCAGGGCAAGAAAGGAGGCTGTAAAAAGGACTGAGATGTCATACTGTCATGTGCCAACTCTCCAAGAGGAATGTATTCATTATGTGTCACACACATACTAATAAAAAAATAAACACTATCTCTTTGGGGTGGGAATCAGGATTTGTACAACTCAAGTTTTTCACCTACTAATATATTTGTCTTTTTCTTTTTTCATTTTTTTTTTAAGCCAAAGAGATTAACAGACACTTTAATTCCTGAAGAATTTCACATTGTGTCAAATACAGGAGTTTCCGGTTTGGAGTGCTACGATGAGTGAGTATATGACATATGTTGAATACCTGGCATAGTGAACTGTTTACTCTTCCCTACACAGAAGAGCCTGAGAACAGTACACTTATATCTTAATGTAGCAAGGAAAAATGTGCTGCATGCACAAATACAATTGAAGGGAGATTTTTTTAAAAGCCCTCAATGAAGACGTCACAGTTTGAGATTTAAGCGATTAAATGATAAATTGTTCTCTAGTTCCCTCTCCCATTTAATTTTGAGTTTTAAAAAATGGAACTTTGTTCTTAATGCTTAACTGTGCTTTTTAAGCGAGGCTTATCCATGGTTATGACCATGCAGACAAAGAACAGAAGCCGTCTAATTCAGCATCACAGACTACAGACTTGTCATCTCTTTTTCTTTGATTCTCTACTTATGAGATTCAAAATGAGATCTGGGTTTTATTTTCTGAGACAACATTTGAATGTTTGTAGCTTAAAAAATCATAGATATATATTATGTATTTAGTATAGAGTCTACAGGGTCTCACTACACAGATTGGACTGCTAGAGATCCTTCCTGTTTTTCAGCCTTCAAAGTGCTGAGATTACAGGCGTGTGCAACCACACCTAGTCTCAATCATGGTCTCAGCACCCCTGGGGGCAGAGCTGGCACAGCAGGCCAGGGATCAAACCCCCCAGCCCCTGTGTCTGCCTAAGCAGGTGCTTTTATCCACTGAGCTATCTGCATCCTAGTTGTTTTTAAGAGATCCTTTCTTACCTTTTCACTAGCTCCACCAGCGTCTTCAAGATCTGAAACTCTATCTTCACTTTCACTCAAACAGTTTTGCAAGCTTGTGACTGAGATTTTAAGTCCCCCTATATCTTTTTGACTCTGCTTCATGCGATCTATTTCTTTCTTATATTGCTCATTGAAGGATCCTATCGTTTTTCTAATCTCTATATTTTATCAGTGTCTTGAGAAGCAGTTATTCTTTCATTATAGTTATCCTTTCTTTTTTTACTTAGAGATTATTTCCGATGTGATTTCCTGTATATGTTTCTGCAGTTGATTCTTCAGATGCTATTAATTCAGAGATATCTTTTTTTTATTTCAGAGGTTATTTCTGATCTGAGTTCCTCTATACCTTTCTGCAGTTGTTTCTTTACTTCAGATGCTATTAATTCAGGCATTTCAGCTGTGTGATTCCCGATTTCTTCTGTGCTAGTGTCCTCTGTTCTGGGTGGGCTCAGGGCCAGAGATTGCATTTTGCTCTTTCTCTTTGTCATATTGTATAGCACTGTC